TTGTCTAAGGCAATTACAAGCATAACATTGTATCTTTTAAAATCATTGGGTTACATTCTGGCCTTTTAAGGCTGCCTCAGACCATTCAGGTGGTGCAAAGCTCCCTTAACATTGGTTTAACTGACTGCATGAGTATTCCCCTGACAAAGGGTAATCCCAGAATACTGGATCCTAAACCCAAGCACAGGTGGTATGATTAGGAAAATAGGGGTGTGGCTAGAACTCTGCAGCAGACCGGTGACCTCTGGTTGCCAGAATGCTCCTCTGAATATCACTGCAGTTGACACAACTAAGGCTTTTTTTGCTCTGTGATACCAGACCTGTGCTCAACAATGTGAAGATGAGGAAAGTGCAGGGATGGTTTACGACACCTTTGTAGCCCTTTTCCCCACCAGAGCTGCAGAAGGGCCAGTCCTGAGGATCTGGCCTAATGTTTATCATGTAATTTTCAGTCACTAAAGTGAGAGACCCAGATTCTCTGGGCCAGTGCAAGGGGGTGTAAATTGTCCTCACTCAGGGTTATGCTATAACTTTAGTTTCTTCTGAGAGCTCCTGGCATAAAGGAGACTCACCCTATGAACACTGACACCATTTTTGATTGGGCACCAATAATAATTTAGGACTGCAAGTGAAACAAAAAAGTAGCTAACTGCAACCTGCTAGTATTCAAGTACAAAATTCAAAGCAATGTGTGACACCATCCTCAGTAGCATCATAACCAGGAACGGTGCAGCTAGAGACAGGCTGTTCCCTTCTCTATATTGAGTAACTGAAATCAATTTTCTGAAATACAGAATAATCTTTGAAATGAAATAAATAATCACATTCATGCTCATCCAGGGCACCAATACCAAACATTCAAGGGCTGAGCACGATATGCCTTTGGTAGTGTTCTGTGGGAGCTGGAGTGGCTGAGGGGGGAAGGGAAGCAGCATCTCTGCAGGGTTGTTACTCTGAGGGTGGGGAAGTGGCAGGTCAGGAGTAGGGCAGGGACAGATCTGGGGAGCATGCTACATGACATGCTTCTCTTGAGACCTGATGGAAGCCTGAGTGGAAATCCATGTGGGATAATGTACTAGCAACTGAATTAACTCTCACTGTACCCTGTGCCCTCCATCCGGAGTGGGGATTATGGCCCAGGTGGAGACTGCCAAGGGCAGCAGAGTCCTTTAAGGCCTCATCTTGCTACGGTCGGGGGGAACAGTAGAGGAGCTAGGCCTGGGGGGCCCTCATTTGGACTGTTCAGTCATTTACATGCTTAGTAATATTTAAGACTTATGTTAAAGTGCCTAGGCCATCACACCACTAAGGAGTGAGATGTCCCTTTGCCTGCACCACTTCTCCCTCTCATGGAGGTGGCTCCCTCTACTGGCCACAATTTAACTCAGCCTCCACCCCCCTCACCCACCCCCGAACATGTCCATGTTACTGATGTAACTGTAAGACAGGTGGCTGAAAAGTTTCAAATTAAAAAAAAAAAGTGTGTGTGTGTGTTTGAACATTTCCCCATTGTTTGACCTGCTCTAGATAGGACACCCATTTTCAGAACCGTCCATCACTTTTGCTACCTCCTCCCTCAACAATCAATTGGAGGCCTCAGTGCCTCTGAAAAAACAAACCCTACTTGCCTCACGTTTGGGCAGCCCAGAATTGAAGCTCCCAGGATCAGAGGACACTTTGGCAGTTCTGGCCTATGTTATCTTCCCAAGGCTATACAAGGAGTCTGTGGCAGAATCTGCATTCAAACTCCAGGCTTCTTGCTTCCCAATGTTGTGCTCCACCCGTTTGCCCAGGCTTGCTAAAAATTACCTCTCAGCCAGAGGCACTGGGTTGTTGGTTTTTTAAAACTAGATCTAATCCATTACTGTGCTGTGAATTTCACCTGCTATTAGCAGGGAAATAATGTCTGAGCCCTGTTGTGTTAGGAGTAAGCCATACCTAAGTATCAGTCATTGACATGTCCTATTTCCCCTCACCTTTCATACAACGGGGCGTAGGGTATATAACCAGAAAACATTGCAGGCTACTACCATGTCTGCCCATCAGCTCTACGTGCCCAAGGGATTTCAAGCTTGAAAGCCTGAAAGTTAAGTTCTGCAGCTGCATTGCCTCTCTTCTAAACAATAAGTCACACCCGAACTAAAGAGGTTATCCAAGCCTGATAAAGTTCTGAACACAGCGGTATCTTTGGGGGCCACTCCTAAGTACAGATTAACAAGTAGGAGTGTGTGTACATGGGTCATTGGTCCTAATTATAAATGTAATTTATTTGGAAATTGTCAAAAATCTTGCTGTCAAGACATTTGCATGGCAGCAACGCAAACTAATCTGAAAGAGCCTTTCACGGCATTAAAATTATTGTGTGACAGGAGGATAAAAATCATACCAAGTAAGCTTCCCAGTAATGTCACCTTCCAAGTAAAGCAAAAGTTAAACCTCTCAATCATAAAACTTTGCATGTGATCCCTGATCAGAAGCTGTCTCCTACTCTTCTGACTGTTTGGGATGTTTATTGGATATTGACCTATTTATTTGTGATACGTCAACCTGTTACTATTTTTATTTAAGATTGTTCCCAGTGATATTTTTCTCATTTCATTCTCTTTCAGACCCAGCCTTTCCCTCTTTTATCAAGCGCAAATGTAACGTTATTTTTTATCTTCTGAGGATCGTGATTGCAATAGTTTGTTGCATTGTAATTTCCTGTAATGCAACTTTAAGAAAGATAGCTCGGCGCTGCTGTGTTTGGAGGGAAACAGAACTTTGACATCAGATTTCCGCGCACTGGTACCAAGGCTCCGATGACATACACTGTCCTGCTTGTTTCAGGGCTTTGGCTGAAATGACATGAAACACCACGAATAGGGGGTTCATTACTACAGCGCTTTGAAATGATGGAGTGGGAACTGTGCACAAACAATACATCTCAGGACATCTACACCACACTACTGTATATCGACCTATTTTGATTTTTTTAAGTTGCTTTATTGATTGCTCTGCTACCCATCTAACAGCCCAAGAGTTTCATGATCACTGATGACAGAACCATCATTTGACGCAGTGTAAGTGGAATGACCTGTAGCGTGTGTGTGTACCTATCTATACACACGTCATGCTCCGCACACTTCACTTGGTAGCACTTTGCCATTTACTTTGATTTTAAAATACATTACTCAATAAAATGAGAGCGTTACCTGTATCTTGAAGATTCCAGGCATGCATATTTTCCCATGCCACTCACCATATTTGCATACATTTGTTTTCCTTTGTAATTCAGACTGTCACTCATTTGTTCCTTTCATTCAAGCAATTATAAAAACCCATTGCCGTCTAGTAGAGGAGCCAAATAATTATAATCTCAAATCGGAGTGATAAACTGCAATGTGGGAAATTGTTTAATGTATTGTGATCTCTGTGTGGCATGCTACTAAAGCGCAGAATTTCCCCAAGTATATGATACAAAAAGTATGTGTTTGGGTTGGTTCTGCTTAGCTCCAAGCGACCCGCTTTTGCATCTCTTGCTGCGCGACTTGCAAGGGCCCCCGGGGAAGGGCAATTCGATTTCAACTTTTCCCCCTGAAGAAGCGAAGCCGCGTGTTCCAGGAACTGAAGTGCTGCAGAGAGAGAATGACTTCTGCGGAGAAGTCACCTCCAGCTGCCTTGTGTGAGCTGTCCACGGAGGGTGTGCCGGACCCCTGTCGCCTCAGGTATGTGAGAGCCGCGATCCCTGGCAAGCCAGACGCCGTGTACCTGCAGGTGGCGACAAATGCCCTTGAAGTTTGGCGCTGTCCCGGGTGCTGAAGGCGGAACGCGAAGCGAGTGAACACAGCTGGCCCATGGCAGCGGCCGAAGAGTTTCACCTGAGTCTCGGGAAAAGCGTCTGCAGCGCCCGCTGCTCTGGCTAAGGCCGGGGATCCTTCCCTGTCACTCCCGGTTCCACACGGCTAACAGAGCGACTCCCGCTGGGGCAGGAGTTTGCATTTAAAAGCTAACCGCGAAGGAAAGGGCTGAAGCTGCGCGGGGAGGGGAATAGGAGTCAGCCACACACTCAGTTATGTGCCTCATCCACTTCAGCTTGCACATGTCCCCCCGATTCCTCAGCCCTGGCATGTAGCCACAGCTGGCATCACTCCGGGCATGTTACCGCATAGCCCGAACGCGCCGCGCCCCCCCCCCCCCGCCAACGTGCCGGGCCCTTGAAGGGCCACAGGGCTGGGGACGATGCAAGCCCACATCTCAATAAACAGGAACGCCACCGCCCGGGCACCCAAGCTCAGGCCCTCGGGACTGACTGGTGTCTTGGCGCGGACGGATCACAGGGTGACGCTGGAGGTAGTTGGGAAGCCACACAGTGTGGCGGCACCAGCTAGTTCCAAACGGGCTGCCTGGGCTTTCCTCTGGGAGGGACGAACAAGGGGGAGGAGGAGGAGGGGACTCGCATCGCTTGCTACTGACCCAGCGGGTGCAGAGGACGCTCCGCCCGCGCTGTTGATGAAAGGGACCGGAGTACAATGGCAGCCCAGCAGCGAGAGCCACCCCAGAGGAGAGGGGGCGGGGGAAGAGAGCGAAAGCAGGGACAGGGGCGGGGGGAGAGGCAGAGCAGATCAAACAGTGAGCGAGCGGGAGGGGAGAGGAGGGGGAGCAGGACCAGCCAGAGGGAGTGAAGGGGAGAAGCAGCCAGCGCGAGCGAGGCTGCTCCGTGCCAGCCCCTCGGAGCCCGGCAGGCTCCTGCTGGGAGGGGAGTGCCGAGGCCGGATCGGGATGGACAGGCACAGCCTCTCTCCGCCGCCTGACGCCCTGTGAACCGCGCGCTCCCTGGATGCCCGCAGCCGCTCCCTCCCGTGGCTCTCCGGCGTGGCCAGGCGCACTGGCGGCGCGGCACGCCCGGGGGCCCGAGGCGATGACTCGCGGCAGGAGAGCGGAGCGCTCCCCACCTGCCAGCCCGAGCCCGGAGGAGTGACAGTGCCGCGCTCTGCCCATGCGCTCCTAGCTGCCCCGGCATGGATGTGGCCAACAACACTACCTCCCCCACCGAGCAGTCCTCAGCGAGGGGCCAGGGCGCCGCGGTGACCCTCAGCTACCAGCTCCTCACCTCCCTCTTCCTGGGCACCCTCATCCTCTGCGCCCTGCTGGGCAACGCCTGTGTGATCGCGGCCATAGCCCTGGAGCGCTCCCTGCAGAACGTGGCCAACTATCTTATAGGCTCCCTGGCCGTCACCGACCTGATGGTCTCGGTGCTGGTGCTCCCCATGGCCGCCCTCTACCAGGTGCTGAACAAGTGGACGCTGGGGCAGGTCACCTGCGATATCTTCATCTCCCTAGACGTGCTGTGCTGCACCTCCTCCATCCTCCACCTGTGCGCCATCGCCCTGGACAGGTACTGGGCCATCACCGACCCCATAGACTATGTCAACAAGCGGACTCCCAGGCGAGCGGCTGTGCTCATCAGCCTGACCTGGCTCATCGGCTTCTTGATATCCATCCCTCCCATGCTGGGCTGGCGGACACCCGAGGACAGGTCGGACCCCGACGCCTGCACTATCAGCAAGGACCACGGGTACACCATCTACTCCACCTTCGGCGCCTTCTACATCCCCCTGCTACTGATGCTGGTGCTCTACGGACGGATCTTCAAGGCGGCCCGGTTCCGGATCCGCAAGACCGTCAAGAAAGCGGAGAAGAAGAAGATCGCCGACACCTGCCTGACGGTCTCCCCGGCCAGCCACCAGAGGAAAAGCAACGGGGAGCCCAGCAAGAGCTGGAAGCGGACGGTGGAGCCCAAGCCCAGCGCGTGTGTCAACGGGGCCGTGAGACACGGGGAGGATGGAGCTGCTCTGGAGGTCATCGAGATCCAGCACTATCACAACTCCTCCAAAACTCACCTGCCACTGCCCAGCGACCCCTGCAGCACCCCTCTGGCCCCATCCTTCGAGAAGAAGAACGAGAGGAGCACCGAGGCCAAGAGGAAAATGGCTCTGGCCAGGGAAAGGAAAACGGTCAAAACCCTGGGCATCATTATGGGCACGTTCATCCTCTGCTGGCTGCCCTTCTTCATCGTGGCCCTGGTCTTGCCCTTTTGTGACAGTGAGTGCTACATGCCGGACTGGCTGGGGGCAGTCATCAACTGGCTGGGCTACTCCAACTCCCTCCTCAACCCCGTCATCTACGCCTATTTCAACAAAGATTTCCAAAGTGCTTTTAAGAAAATTATCAAATGCAAGTTTTGCAGGCAGTGAAGGACACTCCCTTCTCGGGGGCTCCCTGCGCTTGCTTCATCAAACTCCACATCTCTTCTGCTACTAGAGTATCTGCTTGTGCCCTCCTTCCCTCCACCGGTGACCACTCTCCCCAGGACTGCGGCAGGGGCAGCTCCACTTTACCGCGCAGCACCGGAGCGTCTCCTCCTTGTTACAACACACAGCGCGCGGCAAATCCAAGTAGTTCAGACTCTAGTGCAGCGTCTGCCATCGTTCCACGGGGAGACAAGGCCGCTCCGGATTCCAATCCCTCACCTCTCAAAGCGTTACAAACGGAGTCAGCCCCTTTCTGAACTACTGCAAACTTAGCACTTGCAATTCAGCGCTTTGGAAAACTGACTAGCACGTGTTCCTGAACTAACCTGAGCACCGTCTGCTCCTCTGAGTTTACACAGTACTCAGCCTGTGTAATGACACCCTATTTCGCCACTTGTATTTATTTTGGGTAGACCTTGGGTTTGCAGATCGTTGCTTGTGGTCGCTGTTGACCACCTTGTCTGCCCGGGTAGCATCGGTAAAATAAACCATCCTATGCATAAAACCTTCTTGTCTGTTTTTCTTGGATTAAAAGAAGATTGCAGAGCGCTCTGAGTCTAACCTAGATCTGGTCGAGTAAGTACGAACGTGGAGGGTTTGAAGCAGTTCTTTCCACAGTGGAAGAAGGGGCTTAAAAGTTACGTCGCTGGCAGCGAGCTTGAAAAGTGAATTTCGTTTTTTTGGGGAAAACATAATTTTATAACCTTTCAAGGTACTTCTGATCACATTCCTAACTGATATGTCTGTATCATGTATTTATAAAAGCCCGCTGGTTACGTTACTACCTTTCAGTGCATGGGAGTTACGTTGTTTACATGAGAGGGATTTTGCTAAACATTAAGTCATTACAATACACCTAATTAAAAACAGATTTAAAAAAACCCACCCTAATCGAACGAGGATTTCTCATTAAGAAAACCCACGGAACCCATCTGCGTGACTATCAGGCGCAAATAAATATATTGTTTAAAAATTCTTGAAAATAAGACGCAGGTTTTCATTTTGAAAAGCACCTTAAAAGTATTACTAGGAATCACACTGCTCGTTTGGGAAACAAACAGCCGTGCAGCATTTTACTGAAGTTTGAAACTATTTGCTAGGTGCTGCTTTCTCTCTCTTGCCCTGTCTCCCCGCCAAACCAGGGTAATCTCATTTTAATGCTGTGTAATGAAAAGGGCAATTGTGAGCTAAATCAGTGAGTCTCTCTCCCAGCACAGGTGATTAGCTACGGTATTGTTGCTGAACAAACACTCATACTATAGCAAGGAATAAAGAGTGTACTAGTCACTTCACTTGCAAAGTGTGGAAAAGTAAACAAACACTGTCAGCTCTGACTTCTTGACAGTTCAACAAAACTTTCCTGAATACTTGGCCCAATGCTAATTCCCCCCTTTTAAACAAAAACCCCACCTTTAACTCAAGAAAGTTACAGAGGTGGGTTTTTTTTTTATATTTTGCTTTTGATGAGAATGAAGAAATAACCTGATTTGTACTGAAAGGTATTACTAACAGCTCTTTCTAAAGTCAGAAATTGGGGTAGCCTAAACTGTGATTTCAACTGAATTGCCAGAATGTCTATTTTGTACAGTGCCTCTTAGTTTCATACAGGGTATGCATCGTGATCTGTTATTCTGTTCAGATCTGACAGGGTTGCATATTATTTTGCACTATTAAACGGGTTGAATTCTTTGTATTTGGGAAGGTAGTTTGAGATCGAATGCTTGAGCCAAAAATACATATTTTTCTTCTTTAGTTTGTCGTAATCTGTACTACCTATAGGTAAATGGGAATGTTAATTCTGTGCTTCACGTGAATGTAAATGTCAAGTCGTTTATGAATTTAAACAGCTTTCAAAGTTAAATGATAGCAATGCTTTGAATATGTTCAGATAGTCTAATTTATTATAAGAAAATTTATTTGACCTCATTTTCTCAATTAAAGTGAACTTTGATCTTCTCTTCCCCTTTCTCTCTGATCACTCCTAACTACGTGCACATTCTGGATTTTCTTTATTTGAAAACGAAGTTGTAGTTCTAAGTGCAAAAGATACCAAGGAAAATTAATGTCCAGTCATTTATGAAGGAGTTGAAAATTTAGCCTACCACTTAAATCGAAGATCTTGTGACTTGAGTTCAAAGAACCAGCAAGTGCGTTATAAGTGACTGGTTTTAATTTTGTTGAACCTATAAGGAATCTGTCTCCACATACACGTATCCAGTAGGCTGGCGTGTGTTTGAAACAATGATACAATCACACGTGCGACTATGTATGTGAGAGAGAGAGTGGGTTGATGGTTCTATGTACATCTCACTTATATTTCCAATTTAAACTTGTTTAAATTTAATCTGAACGGTGTATTCTAGCGCCTCCCCCCCCCCATTTTTTACTTGCAGCAGAAGTCAGAATCTCCCAGGCATTTCAGAAACTTTTTAAAAAACTTGCTAACGCTGAAAACTTTTATCGTAGCCAATAGATCGATGTTTCAGTTTCACTCTCCCCCTCTTACTCAAAGAGAAGCGATAGCTCCAGAGGAGGTGGTCGTCCTGTCCCAATGAGGAAGCGTACACGCTTTGCACTAGGGGTGGAAGGACAAAAACCGAGGACGTGTTTGCAGGAGGGAGCCATCTCTATGGTCACTCGATTGATCTGGCCAGCAGGTCGGTGTCTAGAGTGAAAGGGCTGGAAATGCCATCAGTGCAGCATGCTCCAGCGTAATTCCATTCTCAATTACGCTAGAGCACTGCTGCACTGAGGCAGTGTTCTTAATTAAAGGGCCTCCCCTGCGCACGCTGACCCCCAGGGCAGGAGGCAGGCCACCAATGGCCAGCTGACAAAAACACCCCTCATTAGCATTGGATCATGAGTGCAGGCTTGTTTTGCTTGCGTTAGCCAAAAGGCAGTAAGGGGCTTTAACGACTGACTCAGACCTAGCCCTAGCCCAGAAGAACTGGTTTTAAAGGGACAGTAGCACGTTTCACCCTGGAATCTATTTCCCTTCCCTAGCCCCTCTTTTTGTAGTCATCGGGGTGCCTCAGCTGCCCCTAGGAGGGGTCTCTCTTGGGCGGGGGGTTATATTTCCCCAGTCTCTCGGGTACTTACAGAGCAGCTCCAAGAGAATTACGGGCCAGGCGCAGTAGTAAGGCGAGGATTGCAGCCCTCTGCTAAAACCATGAGTGTCTGCCACTGGCCCCTCATCTGCCGCCCCCACAATCTCCACTTCAAAGAGACGGGCCGCAGCTGGCAGAGGGGAAGGGCGCAGCCTCACCTCTCGTACTCATGGCAGGCTCAGAGCACTCGCGTAGGGCTGGAGTTTTTCTCTTTTCTTCAGGGATGGGAAATTTATTTCCAAGCTGATCACTGGAGATGAAGCCCCAGCACCTCTCACTCAATCGCTCGGGATTTAGCCGGGTGGGATTTTGTTCTCTTGTACCCAGACAGACTCCGGAGAGTTCCTGCAAGCAAAACTCTGGAGAACTAGTGAGAGAAATTCAGTTCAATGCAGATGCTGTGATTTGTCTCTAGGGGATGGTAGCTACTAGCCTGACAGCACTCTGGCCTCTTTAGTAGTCTGTCCATGCTAATTGACCATGATAATTGGGTGCTCCAAGGGAGGATTAAAATGCTAAAAGAAAGGAGCACTAGTTCTAGTAAAGACTGTGTATTAGCACTACAGGAAGAGGTAATAATACTCACTCTGATATGTATGTTAAAGAAAATGAGTGTAACTGCTGTGGTAGATATATAATGATGGGAGGAGGTTTCTAATGTAAAACCAGAGCATGTTAGTGTAGATTTTCCACTGGTTTCACAAAAAGGTGAAAAATATACTCTCAACAATCCACTTTTGATTATTTTATCCCTGTTTTTTTTTTTTAAACTAAAAGTATGCATCCACTCAAGGAGCCTGCATCCAGCGGCGGCTCCAGGCACCAGCGCTCCAAGCGCCTGCCTGGGGCGGCAAGCCGTGGGGGGCTGCTGATCCCTGCGAGGGAGGCAGTCAGGCTGCCTTCGGCGGCATGCCTGCGGGAGGTCT